GATAATTCTCGATTACGCAACCTTTTCATTATGCCTTCTCCGATTCTCCGAAGACTATTTTCAAAAAGCGCAATCTACGGAATCGCAATATTAAAATTATTATCGCTGTAATCGGAGCTTGCGCCGCCGTTCAATACTACAAAAACAATTTCGCGAAAACGCCTTAGCATACTTCCGATCTGACAGGCCTTTAATAAGTAGAAGAGCTTTTTACAAGCCACCTACTACTACTACGAATCAAGAATAACCTAGGAGTTACTCGGAAAGGATTTCGGTACATTCAAGACCTTTTGATACCTAAAGCTAAACTTCGAAATACTCGATATATGCGGACGAAAGAACAGGTTGCGATTTTTCTATACAGCGTTAGATCGGACTTATCGACACTTTTTAAGAAAGAGACTTGCAAGAGGGGCCTTCGTAATAGCAAATCTCGAATTTGAAGGGATCGACATAATGGCGTTGTTAATATTGAGTTTATTGCATTAACAAACAATTAGTGGTTGTAGTAACGAATTAATTTTTTTCTCTGAGTCTTAAGTTGCAGTTTGCTATTCAATTTGCTACCGGTAGTTGCGAGCCAAATAGGCCTTGGTCCGTGCAACTTCTACTATTACTCCCCCCATAAATAAATGTCGAAAGTATAATTTCGCAAGAGATCTTACCAAGGCTTAAACCAATCAACTTATAAGGATTCAGCTTTAGAAAGTATCTTTGAGCCAGTATTTAGTCTATACAGTGGAGCTCACAAGGCTTTGGGCCATTAAGAAACCACCGCTTTATAATTTATGGGCTTAAACTGGGTCCGACATTTATTCACGAGGGGGGGGAGTACGTAGTACTACTGCTACGTACCTTTTGAGTTGATCCTGTTTAGGATCAACTCAACTGCTTAGTTGCACGGACCTGCAACTGTGAGCCAAACACACCCTTAAGTACTACGTATTACCTTTCGAAGGTGCCTTAAAAGTTTAGCTTCCACTTTAAACCCTTTGATTACTTTACCCTCGAGGGGTAAATACTTACGCCTAGGACGTAGTACGTAGTAAGTAGCGAAAGTAGCGGAAAAGGTAGCTGAGAAGGTAGCGAAGGAGGCTGTGTTATGCGTGTACTACTACCGGTACTACGTATGTCTGTTTCTGCCTTATGGCCTCATGACGGTTTAATCGATTCCTGGAATCACTGTGGGACCCGGTGTTGCCGAAACGTTGTCTGAAATAAATCGCTCATCACGTGCATCATATACGGCCGTCGAAGCCAGAGTTGACAAAAGCGGAATCTAAATTCCTAAGGAAGTCTTCGGAGCGACTAAACTCTACAGCGAGACGGGACCTTGAGCTTGCTCTCAGTATATGACCGTATCTTCATCGTTCTCCACGACAACCTCGCCAGTATGTTCCTCCTGGACCTGATTCTCATCCTTGTTCTGCTCAGACTGTGGTGCTTGTAGTTCAGGGGGATCATTAGTAGTAACATCAATGTTGGGAACAGAGGGAGACTCGGTTAGAGGCTCACCCGGCGTCTCTTTTGACATGCTGTCAGCTTTTTCTGTCCTGGAATCATTTCTCACAGATCGGTCCGGATATCGCAATTTAAATTGTGAGGTTTCTCTGTCGATCGTGGCTTCGGCTTCCTTAATCTGGGTCCTGATTCGCTCTTCATCTCGTGACAGCAGTTTCCACGGGCTGTAGTACTGCGCAGTTATCAGCATGAATAGCGAATGAATCGGTAAAGACAACATACAATTCTCGGCTCAGATGCTGTGTAGAGGAAGTGCGCCATTGCTATAAGGTTGGAATGTCGTGTTCGCATCTGTATCGCCGATCAGAATATGGCCGTTGCCCTCCCCATTGGACATCACGGACCTCAGCTTCGTCGTAGATGATCTGCTCAGCCTTCCGGACAGTCTTTAAATCTGCGAGCTTCTCTCTCCTCCGCGCCTCGTCGGCGGCCTTTTGCTGCTTAGCTTTCTCTTGCTGGCGTTTCTCGATATCCAGCCGTCGCTTCTGCTGACCATTTGGCGTACTCTGGCTGAGTGTGCTTAGCAGTCCACCGAATAATCGCTGCCCGCGCCTCTTCTCTTCTTGAACGCTGCTCTTCCGACGTTTTTGAAGCGCATCCTCGCTCTTAACCTCTGGCTCCTTTCTGACAGACTGGATTGGCTGGGAAAAATCGCGCAGAGGTGCATCAGGGGAACACTTGGGTCGCTTCGATGTCGAGTCCGAGTCGGACGCCGAGGACAGTCGCCGTTTTAGAGGAGCTTTGGGAGATTTAGGAGCTTCAGGAGCTTCAGCTTCAGCATCCACTCTGGGTTCAGCATCTGGGGAGACGATAGCTGAAGCGACTGGGCTGAAGCAAAGATTAGCATTATAGGGCAGCGGAAGGATGCAGTTCATGAGGTAAGGTACAGTACATACCCAGTGGTGTCAGCCATGCTTTCCTCTGCCTCCGCCTCCGCCTCTTCCCCTTTCTCTTCCTCTCCCTCTTTTTTTTTTTTCTTTCTTTCTCTTTCTCTGCTTCTTCTCCGTCTTTCTGCTCCTGCACAGTAGTATGTAGATGGGTCAAGTATTGAGGGCTAGATGGGCGCGGGCGAAGAGAGGTAGGGATTGCGTGGGGCTAGGCCAGCTAAGCTCGAGCTCGAGCTGAGCTGCCGGCCCGAGGAGTGGTATGGCTTGGCATCGCAACAGCCTTGTGGGTTTTTTGGGACAGAGAATCGACGAGCGCAAAACATCGACAATACAATACCCTCACTTCTGCATCGACTCTACCTTCCAACAAATACACTGCACCACGGGTACGCTTCAAAGACTCGGAAAACACAGCTTCATACAGCGCCCTTCATCATGTCTCGCCATCATCCGTGAGTCCTCAGTCCTCCAGACCTACCCCCTCCATTGATTTCTTACCTGTCCTGCCCTGTTCAAACAAGATGTGTATATATCTATATATACATATCTATATACATATACATGTATACACACACCATCCAAGACAATAACTGACACCTCTCACAGCGATCTCGTCATGTGTCGCAAGCAGTCCGGTATCGCCATCGGCCGCCTCTGCGACAAATGCGACGGTAAATGCCCCGTATGCGATTCCTATGTCCGTCCTACCACCCTCGTCAGAATCTGCGACGAATGCAGCTTTGGAAATTATCAGAACAAGTGTGTTGTGTGCGGTGGCGAGGTATGTTTGATGAGATAGGAATTTGGAATTACAGAGCGCATGTTAACATGTCCCCAGGGCATTTCCGATGCGTTCTACTGCTTCGAATGTACCCGCTTGGAAAAGGACAGAGATGGGTGTCCGAAAATCATCAACCTAGGATCTTCGCGCACGGATCTTTTCTACCAGAAAAAAAACTTTCGGAATCACTAACAACAGACCCGGCCCAGATGGGGAGCGAGGGCGCACTGCAAAGCATTTGCATGTCGATGGCTTTGTTTGTTTGCATAGCGAAGGAGTTTCGGGATAAGCATTTCTGGATGCTGGAGGCCAAGGATAGGATGGATACGAACGATGAAAGGATTACTTTATTAGCGTTATCAAGATTACGCCTAATCCAGCTCCCTCGAGATCCTTCGTCGTTAGTCTGTCTTGGGCCAACCATATTTCCATTCCCATTATGTCAAGCACTCCGCCACTTCTCATAATGTCACATCCTCTGGTTTTCATCTCAACGGGAAAGCTTCGCTGGTCCTTATCTCCGCTCTCATCATGCTCAGAATGAACTCCATCAAACGAGCAATGCGCAAGCCATTCGCTCCAAAACTCACCAGAGAAGAGAATGAGGATCTCGAATTCCATGTCGCACAGATACGCTCCTCAATCTTCGCCCTCGAGCACCGAATCGAGATCTCACGAACAAACCTCCTTACCATCTGCCGCTGTCTCAAAAGCCAACTCTCCTCCGCCGCTGCCGATTCCCAGGTGTTTTCTGGCACCTACGGCATATTCGACCTCCCCCGAACCATTGCTGCATTAGAAGAACGGTGCAACGAAATCACGCTCAATCAGCAAGATCTCCAACGGCAGAAGCCGCCCATGCGGGGTAATGTGTGCCCGTCCGAGCTCATCGAGCGACCCGTCACGATTCCGCATGATCAAAGGACTATTTCGTTACCGCGAGGGCTGCCGATTGGGAAGGCCGCTGCGTTGACGGTCACGGTAGAAGGGAGGTACCATCTTTTGCAGCTGAAGCGGAAGCAACTGGAGACCGAGGCGGAGAGATGGGAGGCGGATGTAAAGTACTGGGGTGGTATTTATGATTCGATGACTTCCCCGACATCGCCATCGAATCCCGCAGCTCTCCCTTTCTCTGATTGTGACCATACACTGTCAAATCGCCCAGAAATTATGCTACGGGATGAGAATACAGCCGGGGTCACGAACATCCAGAGGAATAAGAGTCAACGGAAAGCAGTCCCGGTGAAGGATATCGTGATACGAACTATGCAGAAGTCGACCAGCCCGGTCGAGTCGACCCTTGGGTTACAAGTGAATAATACGGAGTCGCTGGCTTTGTCTGAGAGGCAGACAATGTCTCCGCGGCCTGCGCCGAAGAGAGCGGCCAGTGGGTGTCTCGAAGGAGAATTTAGAGAAGTGGAGTTTCGTGGGTCTGGAAGAATGCCGAAGATAAACGAGAGCAAAACCAGCTAAATATTGATGGGATGAATTTGCGAGTTCGCCTGGTGAATGATTGCATGGGTCTGATTGATACCTCAGAAATAGTTATGTGTTTTGGTTGGGAGTCTGGACTTTGAGCTTTGGGCTATGATCGCGGGAGAATCATCATGCGAAGGACCTTGCTCGATCAAGTGCTTCTATTCTATTCGAAAGGTGCTTTTCTATTCGAAACACACCTGGCGCTCTTTCGGCCGGTCCAGTACAGAGGCTTCGTGAGAACTAATAGATTTCAAAATCTAGAATGAGGTATCACACCATTTTATTTTTTATTATAGAGCTCTAATAGACCCTTAGAAAGGGCAAAGTATGCATATACCTAGCTCCTGCCAGCCCCAGCCTCTCAGCGCAAGTCACAGTCTTTCCTCAAAATTCGTGATATCCTCCCACTCTCCGGCTTCCGGATCCACCTCACGGATGGTCACTCCGCGCGGACCACCGCCGAGCTCATCAGGAGGTGGATCTTCACTGTGGCTTTCCTCTTCCACTTCCAGCCCATCACTGTCAGAAAGGCCGTTAAACACCTCCCCGTCATCATCCTCCCCCTCCTCCTCCATCTCCGACGCGCCCTCCGACTCCCAACCATCGCCCAAGAGATCCTCAAGCTCCTCCTTTCCTAGGTTTAGCAACTCGGTGGACGATCCCATGAATTTCCGACGCCATGCTCCACACCGAGTTAACGGGTCCTCATCTGCCATCGGCCACGGGAATTTGCCGATGACATACAGCTCCAGCAATTTCGCGTCGGGCAAGTCCCGTAGCAGATCATCATTCGAGCCGGAATGCGCGGTTGGTTCGAAGTAGGCATCATACATCCGTGGCATCTCAGCGAAGAGCTCAAACCTGGCGAGACTCATGTGGTCGCGGAGATACGTCAGGATCTCCTTGTGCGTGGAATCTTGAAAGTTGACGCCGCACTCGCCGATGTAGAGGTTCTTGAGGGTGTCCCTGTGCCGGAATAGGAACTTGCCCACCTCGAGAGGTTCGGAATCGGTACCCTGGAAGCGGAGGCTGACGAGATGCGGGAATCGGCAGCGGAAGAGGGAGGCTTGGAAGCCCTTGCAGCATTTGTCGGCATCGTGCTCGTCCTCGTCTGCTACTTCGTAAGAGATGTTGAGGTAGGTGAGGTTTTCGAAGCAGCCGATGAATTTGGCCATCGCTTCGCCCATGCATGCCGCGTAGTTCCGGATGTAGCCGGCTCCGGCTATAGAAATGCTTAGCTCTCTGACACTAGCCACGCCCTTCTTCAAACTCGGGCCGGGTTTCAAGGCGGATAGCTGTTCTGAGAGGATGGCGAGCAAGGCCTTCTCCTCCGGTGTGGTCTGGAGTTTCCGGGGTCGGAAGATGTCGATGGGGAAGGCATCCATCCCGATCTTCTTGAGCGAGTTGCACCCTCCTAGTATAGAGGAAAGAATGCTGCTGTATCTTTGGATCGAGGTCAAGTTGTTCAAGAAATGACTGAACTTCTCCGCAATCTCTTCGTCTCTTGAGTCCTCCATAAAGTCCCACGCTCTCTCAAATGGAGACCCATCTGGGTTATTGCAACGGACAGGGCATTCCCGAGAGATGATTTCAACGGTCTCGAGATTGGGAAGCAAAGGGAGACAGTGCCCCAGGGTCTCCGGATTGCAGTAGTCGTTGAAACGGTCCTCATCAAAGATCGCATCCACGTATCTCCAGATCTTGGAAGCAGGTTGGCCGTAAGAAGCAAGTTCCAGCGCACGCCACTCCAGCTCGATGGTCGTTTCCAGCTGGCTCCGGTCCACGTCACCGGCGTAGATGAAGACATCTCGAACACCCTTCGAGATCCGGGGATGCTGGCTGATGGCTCTCAATTTTGCCATGTCGTTGCGGTAAGGGCGCATCACGAAGCCATGTCCGAAGAGCGATGCGGCGCCTGCAGCCGCCCAGCTTGCCGATACCAGACGCAGGCTCGGAATGTCCCTGACCGGGACGAATTGTACGACGATGATCTTCAACTCGCTGAGGAGCCGCAAGAACGGGCTGTTTTTGTTGTTGGGCTCCTCCTCCTTGTCTGGCGCCGGCATCAGGCTGACGCTTTGCTCGTGACTTGCGCCGGCTGGCTGGTCTTCCCTCTGTCGGGAACTCGGGCCAGCTGGGCCTGGCGGTTGCAGCGTACGAGCCATACGAGAACGGGGTGAGGTGTTTGATATCGAGGAGGCAGATTTGCTCATCTACGTATGCATTGATTTGCGACGTCGAAATGTTGCGGGCCCGTTTTGACTTGGGACTGACGGAGTTTGAAAGAAGAGGGGAGAGCAAAATGAAGCACAGATATTGTGAGATAGAGATACGACGACTTGTTTATTGCTTTGCCAGTAGAGTAACTGCTATTGGAATGACGGTGTCTGTGATCGGATCGGGATATTCGGGTTCGTTTGCTATGGTGGGTTGTGAGGCGCAAGCGTCGCTTTTTGAAGTTGGCGGCAATTGGGTGCTTGACCACGTGACCTTCACCAAATGACAACTCTTGGAATGATATGAGACGGGCTTGACAAGATAATTTGAAAATTGATTATAATATTTAATAATCGAGTTCTCTCATAGCAACGGCTCGGCACTTACGGCCCGACACTTACGGCCCGATAATGTTTGAAAAAAGTCAAAATAAGCAGAATGAAAAAAGCTTTGGCGCTCCATAAGATCTTTTGAGAAGCTGGTAAATTTTCAGACGTAACTCCCTAACCACTACTACTATCTCAATACCTTTGAATCAAACCACTGCTACTATCAAAATACCTTGGGATTAAAAAATTTCGGATCTAGTCACCCGAGGTGACCATGAGATAAGTCAAGGGCCTGCGACCAAGTTGGCAATGCGCTTCCGCAGGCTAGCTTCAATCAACGAACCCCTTTACCTGAATCTTTTTGATATTGCCCGTCTCTTTTTGTTGGAAGCTGCCGTTGGCGCACCGTCCAAAGCCAAAAGCGCGAAATGACCTCCGGCGACAGGTCTCGCGATAAACGGGCCGGACCAGAAGCTATACAGCTCGTCAGCTAGTCGAAGACCAATCAATCATGATATATCTCGAGCTAAATATGGCGCGGTAAGATCGGGATAATATTTAGTCAAAACGCTTTTGAACAGAAGCACCGAGGATGGTAGTTGGTAGAAGATAAGGGAAGGAAAGGGGAAATCAAATGCCTACTCTGCATTCTGCGTGTTGTAGAGGTCGGTGAAGGCTCTGTTTGTCGGCGTGGTGTTTATCCAGGCGGCGAGTTTGGAAATGAACATGGCCTTCGTCGTCGGGCTACTTATGGCTGCCACCCACATTTCCCAATCCGCTTTGTGAATGCGTTAGTAACAACCCGATTTTCTTGCTCGAATAGAGTAGAGATGGAATAATATCGAGATCGTTTACATTTTGTACCGACGTTACGGGTATCTAATGGGACGCCGTATGCTTCGGCTACCGTGGGGTAGAATGCGGACTGCATGTCGTAGATATCTTTGGGGACAAGATTCAAGCCCAGGAGCTTTTCGGCGTAGAGATTGTATAAGAGACCTGGCGGGCTGTTAGCCAAGTCGTTCATTGGATTTGGGAAGCGGACGTACCGTGCGAGTTGTTGTCCTGGTAAGCAAGATTTGTATGCGGCGGTCTTGCATCTGTTACTACAGCCATTTTCTGCCACCTGGTGATGAATTCATGTGCGATATTTGTGTACATAGCATGATCGGCCATATTTCCGGTCTTGTTGGCGATGACGGACACTTGTAAGACACCGGGAAATCAGTCGTTGCCTTCTGACCAAGCAGGGTTTGGAGAGGGGGTAAGAGAAGAAGAATGCATTCGGAAACAAGATCAATGGGCCTCCCGGCACCTACTGGCTTCAATACCGATGATGCCTTTCAACGCAAGATTGGTCTGATTCGCAAGCTGGCCCTGGAAGTCATCGGTTGAGAGCTGGTAGGCGGGGATCAAAGCTTCGTCGACGAGGTAGCCAGTCCACTGTTTCAGGATATTGTAATGCTGAGCCAGATAGGCTGTGTCTCCTGTACGCTGCGCATAGGCGAGGGTCATGATAAGCATGTTTCCACACTCTTCTAGCGGCATTGGTTCTGGCTCGTTAGCAGCTGATATCTGTTTGTCCAAAACCGACTCACCTCCATCTCCACTGGGATGCCCAATAGCACGCGGATAGTTCGCCCCAAGATCGTGCAGCGAGTACGTCTGCGGGAAGCGTCCGGCTTCCTGGTTTTCGAATAGCGGATCCAGCATATACTTCACCAAAATCGGATTCGAATATAGAAATATAGGCATAGCAGGGAAGATTACGTCGACCGTTTGAATGTTACCGTCAGAGCTGATTTCTTTCAAAAACAAGTAAGGCTTAGATTTAGTTCCACAAAGTTGAACGGAGCCAAAAGCCTGGCGAGCGGAGAGAGATGTGATGGTGAGGTAATCTTGACCCCCAGCAGCAAGAGAATCGACTGCTATTTTGTGGTCGATGGCGCCGGTGACGGAAGACCAGTCCTTGTAGAAAAACTCGACCTGGAAAAATATTAGCGAGAGAGAACGTATGAAAGAGATCGATTGTGTCACCATAGACAGGTCAGCTGTCCAGTAGCTAGTCCTACGAGGACACATGAGTGTAAGCGGCTGGCTGCCCAACTAGGAAGATGTCGGAAGAGGGAGAAGATATTCCTCCTTGTTACCTACCACAACGAAGGGACTGGCGCAAGCCCAGCAGCACCGTTGAAATAGATCGCATTCTCCTGAGCGTGGACAATCGTGTAAACCGTTGTAACAGGAGTAGCACCAACACTCCCTAGATAGTTCGCAAATGCAAACACAGGCCAGTTTGAACTGATGCCTCTATAGTTCGTGTCTTGAGTATCTGGAAGCACGCCGTTGCTCAAGAAGTTTTGGCGAACCGTAATGTCAGGCCCCGATTGGTACGTCAAAGAGGGTGAAGCAGCCGTTGACCCTATTGTTCAATGTCAGTATGATAAAGTATAAGTTCAAGAGGATCCAGAAAGGTATTCAATGCTTCGAGCAGGGAGCAAACTTACAGTACCAATTACCCCAATGTGCTGCGTCATCTGGATAATCAGCATTAAACTCGCTTTGAATTGATTGGAATGACTTGTGGCTCGCGACTCCACTAGCATTGGAATAACTTTGGATTGATTAGCACGATGCTGGTCAGGATCCATATCATACTACCTCCAAGATACATCTTGCCCATTGTGCGTTGGATTTACCCATTCTATGTGCTATTAGCAAAGGCTATTCTTACTTAGCCTTCACACCGACCTACCGGCTGAAGTGTCCGCGTAGAGCTGCACATTATGGTATGAACCATCACGCGAAGCAACTGCAACAGAGAGGTATGACCCAATAACAGACTGTCGTTTGATATCGGTCGGAGTTAGAGGGGAAAGAAAGGTGACATTCATGGTGACCTTTCCTGCAACATTCATGATGAAGGTAGACCGCTGGGAAGTATACTCGAAACTATCCTGAGTGACAAGTGTAGGTCTCACACCATTCACATATGGATCACCCAGCCATGTGTACGCGACTCCATCGATTTTGATGAATCCCGCCCATCCCGTCACAGCTCCATTTGAACCCGAGACAGAACCAGGTTGAGGACCCCTTGATAGAGAATTTAGACGGAAGGGCTCTCCGAACGGTTCAGCATAGATTTACTTACGCCCAGAAGCGTCTACCCAGATGTTAGCCAGCGCTACATGATTGGAAGCATTGGGATCAGGACTCACGGCCAAGCGCCAGCGAGATTACCACCATTGTTGCCAACCTCTAGCCACGTGCTCATGTAAGGGCTCTTAACTTGAAACTTATTAACAGATTTCCTTGAAGTGAACATTGCACTTACCTGCAAGTGGAATCGCGGGTGGATGTGCTGGGCTGAAGGTAGAACTGAAAGCTTGACCCGCGAGGGAGCCAACAAACGCAGCAACCAGATGAGACTTCATACTGTGATGTCTTGAAAAGGGACTAGATGTGTCCTGCCAGAACGAAAAAGAACGGGCGATGTAGGGCCACTCACCCTTTATAAGCTCCCTGGAATTCTCAGGGAGAGTAGGTGAGAGAAAGCACAGAAAAGAAAGAGATCGATGAGAAGGCCCGTTAGGATCAACTCATGAAAAAGGTTGGCTCAGAACTCAAGAAATGACCTATGACCAAAGAGAATGATCACGTAGTGCATAAAGTTACCCCGAGCTGTGAGAACTCTCATTTCATTAGGAGATCGCAACTCATGCGTGAGACAAATGATACCTCCGACAGAGAGATTCCACCCTCCCAAATCAAACAGATAGAGAGACGATAGCTTTGTAGGACCAATACTCCGGATCCCCGTGTTCTAGAAGCCAGAGTTGCGGATGCAAAGATTGGGCCGGCCAGCCCTCTATGCCAAGTTACTCGTTACTAAGTATACCACAAGGTCTGATCCCTGGCGGCCCTCCGCAAGCTCCGGGGCCAAGAGACCTTGATTCGCCCGGTCGTAGTGCAAGGCTGCCTTCCGAAGCCTTTAATACTAACGCCGCATTACTTTTACAAAAGACATACATTTTAAAATCACATAAATAGGATGCAAACGCTTCAGCTCGGCCGCAAGCGAGAACTTACGGCCCTTCGCAAGCTACGAAGTAAGTTTTCCGGACTTCGCGGCATCACTTTTATATAAGAAATACATTCTAAAACAACTTAAATAAAATATAACGCTTTGTGCTTCTTGTGAATCTTCAGCTCTCTTTTCCGGCAAAGAGTCTGGAAAGCCGAAATTGAATCATCGATATGCGACGTCTTTTCGAGAAGATCTTCTTTTACCGGCGGTTCCGAACCTCCTCCCTTTCTCTTTCGAATACTACGTCGACTACGATCAATACCTGACGGGCATACCGATTGAAAAGACTGAAAAGATTTGCGTCAGAGACAGAACGGATATAAAAGATAAAATGGAAAAAGCTTAGTTCGATTAATCGAAAACGCGCTGTTGCGCCTTCGAAAGAGCGTTCTGCAAACATACCGGCTCTTATACAAAAGCTACGAACGCGAGTTTTTATAGCTTTACGATAACGAAAACGATGTTTATACTTGTACGGATCGAGGCTCGCCGTAAAGCCATACGTATTTGATAATCGACGAAAGAAAACTCGGCGCTCATTAGTATGAACTGATTTTAGGAGGATCAATTCCTCTACTTAGCACGTCGCCATACCCCATGGGAGGTCCCGCCCGACGTAAATCAATACTACTACTATTATAAGTTATATTTCGGTATCTATTATCTCGCATAAAATAGTCCGTAAATTATCGATAGGATTTGCAGCCCGAGCAGCGCGATGGATTTGTAAGTAAGCTAGCAGCTACATTTAATAGTTTCATTAACTGGTTTAACTAATTAATTGGTTTAAGTAAGTAGGAACTTGATGTTCCTCGACTTTGGTGTTCTTGCACGGCCTCCTTACACGTAAGAGCGCCATTATTCCCCGGGAAAGAACGCGGAATATAATATAGATACAGTATAGATAATCATCTATTTACAATATCCAAAGTTTTTTAGCAGATATTCGAATGCAGAAAAGGGTCCATTGAATCCTGTAAAGGTCACCTTATCACCCAGGGAGAAAAGTTGACGTAAGTTGAACGCAGACCGAGCAGCGTGTTGCGATCACCAGGGCTCGATGTCGTGGACGGAACTGACAGCTGTTCCCCAGACTTGCTTCCAGAAGCAATAGATGCAATGCATGTAGTACCACGATACATGCAGTATATCAGCCACGCAGAAAATACCTGGCCTAAGTAAGATTGGGTAACACCGAAATCTGGGGGAGAGGTTGTCTGTCGTACCTGAGGAAGAGGTTGTCATACCCAGGCTGGGGGTCTTGTGGCCAGAGATCGAGACACGAGACGCGAAATAGTTGTACAACTCGGGTCGGCAGATCCCAAGCCAAGAAACCCGGGAAGCTCACGAAGAAAGGCCTGAGGAGATCCCATGGGGTTTTATTTTATTTGCATGATTCAGTCGCTGGATATTTTTGTTTTCTGAACACCCTTTCTACGCATTTCTAACGAAATTTTCCACAAAACTTGAAGTCTTCTTCAATACTACTTGTTTTCTATAATACTCCGCAATACCCGTCCATCTAAACCCGTACATAATTACGAATAAAAAAAAAAGGGCAATTTCGCCTTCGGTCTTGTGTCTGTTACAACTCCGGTGCCTATATCAGATTGACTCCCTACCCACTCTCGTTGCGTCTCTCGCCCGCGGGTTTCGTAGCAGGAGACGGGACGGCACCTGAAGCATCGACACCCGGCTTGACAATGACACCAACTCCAGATCCACCCTCGCCGGTACCAAGCTCAATACCAGGACTTGTCTTCAGAGCATTACTAGCGAAGTTGAGAGCTGCGGTGAAGCCAGCCATGTCGCGCTTCTGAACCGTAGCATTCTCTTCACTCCCGGTTTCGACGGCGTCGACTTCATCACCCTTCTCTGCACCAGTATCAGTAAGTGGTCCTCACATTCCAACGACCTTCAGCACAATGATAAAGCCTCGGCCGGAGGGCAACAGGGAAGCACATGGGAGAGTAGACTTACCGGCTTCTGGGACAGGCGTCACTGCTGGGGGAGCCTTTTCAGTAGGAGTAGCCTCGCTGGATTTTTTCGCAGCCTCAGCTGCACCTTCTCCTACAACAGATGCCCCTGCGAGGGTATTCATGAGTTTTTCAGCTTCGGCGCCACCTTCGGCTCCACCAAAAGAGATCTCTCCATCTCCGACTACCACTGCGGGAGAATAAGCGCCTAAAACTATGTTGAGGGGCAGAGCGGCGACAGACGCCGCGGCGAAAAAGGCGCAGTACAGAGAGAGGAGTTGCATTTTGTAAGCGGATTGGCCTAGTCTTCGGTATAGATAGAGGTTGACGGCGTTGGTATAGTAGCGTGCGTGCTTTAGAAAATATTGATTCTTAGACAGTCTTGGAAAGATAGGAATAAAGATAGTGCTTGGATGTTAAGGTAGCGAAAGGAATAAATGCTTTGTATACCGTCTGAGTAAAGAATGAGAGCGCAGTTGGGTAGGAGAAGAAAAAAATTGTACATTCCCTCGACCTTTATATACGACTTTTCAGATGGGCTACGTTAACATCCATAGATAGCATAGCGGGACATGGCACAAATTCAGTCTCACATCCCTTTGTGAATCGATCTGATGTAGTCAGATGGTAGTTTCGTAGTAGTGATGGTACCGTGTTTCGGTTATGCGTTAGCAACGTCTTATTCGAGGTAAAGAAGCGACGATGAAGTCAAGGCATAGGAGCAAGAGAACAAGCATAAGGAGAAAAGACAAGATAAGATGGGACAAGACAGTTCAAGCGCACTATAATCGCGATCTTGTCTGAAGTTCGATAATAAGATTCTTGCAAGCAAAGGTCACGAGTTCGGATGCGGATGTATTTACTTTGACACGTGATTTGACTATACTATTCCGGATAATCCTACATCCGACCTCTTTGTACTGAACACCGAGCACCGAAACAACTTACGACGAACTTATAACAACAACAATAACAACAACAATAACAACAACAATAACAATATGTTAGGCTATCTTGCAGCTCTCCCGCTATTATACATCTGTGTATATCTCCCTCTTTCCAGCATAATCCTCGGCACTTCCCACAAGCCCGCAGTGCCCGCTGTCACGTCTATGCTTAATAACTCTCTGATTGCCACAAACGAGGCCCTTTCCTGTCCATCTCATAAGTACAACACCCATATCCTCTCCCTGGAACCGCTGGTAATCTACATCGAGGATTTTCTGAGTGCCGAGGAATCAAGACACCTGCTAGAAATCAGGTAAGCTTCAATTCCATAAATCCTGTTCCGTAGCCTGCCCTCCGTTTCTGTGACGATCGTGAAACCCCGTGACTGACTCCAACCAGCGAGGACAAGTTCGAGGCTTCTACCGTCTCTACCGGGGCCAGAACTTCCATCCAACGAGATGTTCGCGACTCGGAAGTCGCGCTGGTTGACCGTGATGATGTTGTAAGATGTATTGAGCACCGTGCGAGGGATTTCCAAGGCTGGCGACCAGATCTCCACATCGAGCGGTTAAGAACCCAGAGATACGGCGTAGGTGGTCATTACGCGCATCACTATGACTGGAGCGGTGCCAGTAGGGATGCCGATCGTGTAAGCACCTTCATGGTATATGTCGATGCGGACTGTGAAGGCGGTGGAACAGAGTTTCCGCGAATACCAATGCCGGACACATCCAATGGCAGGTGGTGTGAACTTCTCAAATGTGAAGAGACCGAGGACGGAGCCGAAGACAGAGACAGGAGGAGTAGAATCGGCGTGACTTTCAAGCCCAAGACAGGGAATGCGGTGTTCTGGGAGAATCTGAGACCTGATGGGACCGGGTACGAAGAGACGTTGCATGCTGGATTGCCCGTTCTATCAGGGTCAAAGGTCGGATTGAACATCTGGAGTTGGGGACCTGCCCGAAGAAGGTAGCAGGGGTCTGTCCGCCTTGCCTACCTATCTAAGTAGGTACGCAAAATTGAGGCATAGGCTCAGGTGGCAGACGTCTTCCCTCGGTGCAGTCGTTCTGTTTGTTTATTTTCGCCTCTCGAGAAAGCCGAATATGTACAATCGGGATGCGTTGAAGGTCGCTCAAATAAGGGTATGTATTTGTGAAAGTGCTCGTCGCCGCTCGCCTGCGTGGTTGGCTCGAGCTTGTTGTCATCGGTCTTGTTTACGCCGCCCTGAGCTCAGTCAATGATTTTGTTCGCACCCATGTTTTCGGCAACTTGAACTCGAAGTTTTGACTCATCGCCAGGCGGAAGTGCCTGGGCCTGTTATTCCAGCCGAGGAAGACAACGCACAAACTTTCGTCGATCTCCATACTCGGTCAACACCAGTTACAGCTACAGCTCCAGTCCCCAACCTCACCTCACGATGCGTCGAGACGATTCCTAAGCCATTCGTCAGTCTTGAAAATGCCGCGAGCAGGCAGAGTCAACTTCGATCTTCCCGCTATGAGTTCAAGCTCACCAGCATCACTTCCAGGGGGGGACATCTCAGCAGCAACCTATACCGCGTCGTCAGTCTTGCAAATGCCGCGAACAAGCGGAGTCAACTTCGATTTTCCCGCCATGAGTTTCAAGCTCATCAGTATCACTTCCAGGGAACCTCTCAGCAGAAACCCATACCGCAACGCCCCTTCCTCCTCCACGTTCCAAATCCTGTGATCCAGAGCTCCTGCGACCAAGCAGAGCCAGCAGATCGGAGATACTAAAGAAGAATAAAAAAACCTCCCGACCGTTCACCCCAGCATTCCGTGCAAGGCGCAAAGTCTACGCCTTTCCGCTCCGCCAGCCCCAACCTGATCCACGAATCCTCCCTGTCGCGAAAAGTGCAGTTTCAAAGCCCACACGCTTTTACTTAATGCGTAATGGCCAGTCCTGCCTCGATCCTCCGCAACAAATCCCCAGCCTTCGACCGCAATCTCCACTTACGCTGCAGAAAAAGAAGTTCACATGGCCGAACCCGTTCCGCTTATTCATATCTAAAGAAAAGTCCCGCAAATCGCAAGAGCTCGTCTACAACGTTCGCACCCACGAGTTCTCCACCAAGCCCCGCTCTGTTCTCCTTCCCCGTCCCTGGCGCAGCACTACTGAGACGCCTACGTACAGGATGCCAAGGGACGACCCGGCTATGCTTGTTGATGGCCGCGTCAATGTGATTCCAATAGAGAGCTGGACAAAGGAAATGGTGGTATGGTGGAGAGTTTTTGATGGGGATGAGTACATGGTCTTGGAAAGAGAGGTCAAGCTGCCGGGTTGGTAAGTACAAGGCCGAGCCTTCTAGATATTGTTCTTATACGGCCCGTGACATTGATTGCACTCTTGCTAACTGCATAGCAGGGCGCTGGTCCACAAATTTTCGGGAATCCGAAATTACAAGGAATTGTTCATCACAAGCGGTTTCGGTGATGAAGATGAAGAGTATGATGATTATGAGCGGAGCAAATGGGAGCGGTTCTTTTATTGGTTGTGGAAGACTGGATAGATGATCCCTTTTTTTTTCTTCAAAGAAAAAAAAAAAAATAACCGGACAGGTAAAGCGTACGTATATATGAGTCTCGGTGAATGAAATGTGTACAACTGCTGCTCGAATTTTACAAGATTTTTTATGGTTACTCGTTTTGGCTCGTACGCTTCTGACGATGATTAATGCGCTTCTATCATTTGCGGTAAGTCTAAAATAAGCTGCGTAGATAGTCTTTTTTTGCAGAGAACAATCGGATATGTAAAGCGTACGTAGGTAGATACGAGTCTCGGTAATTGAAATGTGCATTGTTGGAACTAGCATTCAGCTTGGTTGACTACATTCAGCTGAGTCAACTCAGTCAAACAGGTCAAACAAGTCAAGTCACGTGGATACCCGTTTGTACCTTCCGTTTGCATCGGTAGCTATAAGAAGCTACTACTTTACGTACTTAAGAAAGGAGGATATATGCAATACTAACTGAACACACTTAAACCTTGAATACGTATTCAACTTTACGTCATTATACTTGTGATACTAACACTGATCAGTAGTTTACTTTACAAACTATAGATAGCAAAGTAACTTTTAAAAGAAGCAACTACTTAAGTAAAAAGGACGATTTTCTTAACACGAGGATCGCTTTGCTCTTTAGAGTACTCTTGCGCTAAGAAGAGAACCTGATCTTTTTGTTTTCGTTACGAACTTACGAGCTTAAGAGCGATACTCGTTTAATTGCGTTTATCACGCAAATTCATTCATTTATTCACTCTTACGAAAAACCTACTACCTCTTTACCACACCTTTCTTACGATACTTTTTTACGATATCCCTTTTATAACATGTCACTTATTCTCGATCACATAAGCTTTAGAGTCGACGAGGAAGCTTGAAAGAGGAAATTCAATCTTGCAAACACGGAAAATATTATAAAGATCGTAAACGGTTATATCCTTTTGATGCTTATCGGTTACGAAAACGTTTATCGGTACTTTAGAACTAACTTGAGAGAGTTGTTTTAAAAAGATTTCGAAGGCTAGACATAAAACAGTTTTATATTAGCTACGAAGATATGCTACAGAAACTTTTAGCGCTATCTGCTCTTAAATAGCGTACTAATCAAGCTTGTTAATACTAGTGTACTTTATAAAAAAGTATTTATAGATGTCCTTTCGAACGATAAACCTTTCGAATAGATCTTAGAATCGCAAAAGGTTTTAGAAAACTTAAATAAAAAGATAGAATCCGAGAAAAGAGCTGTACTTGCTCTTCTTCTTTCTCTTTTAGATTAGCAACCTTCTCTTCTTCTTCTTTCTCTTTCGGACCACACTTAATTGCAACAAATACTATAGACACAGTTCTTTACTTTATACTAATTCGGTTAGAACCTTTTCAACCTTTTCAACCTTTTCGGTAGTGGCTTACCACCTTTCCCTTTTCCTTTAAGAAGTAGCGGCGGCGGCGGCGATAGCGGTAGCGGTAGTATTAGCCTTCCTCTTCTTCTCCCTTTTCTTCTTTAAGCTATTACGGGCGCTTTTAGCAAACCTTTAAGTGACTTACTTAAAATTTACGTAGACAAAGATAAAAAGTTTAGTAGAGGCGACTACGACGTTCTTAAAAATAAATTATTAATATTTTACAATCATTGTAAGATGGTTAGTCTTTTTTAAGAGCTTTTAGCTTACGCTAAAGCCTTTTCTATTATGCTTAAAGACTAAGCAAATACTTATTTTTACACTTTTTTATATAATAGAAGTTTAAGATTTAAAAAGATAGTTAATCTCTTAAAGATGAAGTTCGAGATTAAAAAGAGCACTTAGAAATACTTATTTGAATAAAGAAAGACTACTTTTAAAAAGACTGTTGCTTAGCACTTTAAGAAGACTAAATTAAAGGCTTTAGACGTTATAATTAATAAATTAACTTTTTTACAACGCAATCTACTTTTTATATACTACGATAACAAATCAATCAAAGATGCTTTTCTTAGCGCTATAAGAAAGGTCTTCGAATGCGCTTTAACACTTTACAAACCTGCTTTTACTTTCGAAGCTTTCACCTTAGAGTTAAAATCAGCAGTTGCGACCGCTTTAAAGCAAGCATTAACATTAAGTTTTTATACTTATGAACTATAGTTCACGGGTAAAGAAGACGAGATTAATGATTCTTTATATACCGACCGGACTTACGAAGGTAACCGCGCTAGCAAAAGCTATCGCAATAGAAGAAGTGCTAAGAAAGGCTTATATAAAGGCTTTCAAGGTAATAGACCTTTCGAGAGAAGCTAACTTAATAGCGGTTTTTAGAATAAAAAAGGTTTATATAGAGCAAGTAGAGCAAGTAAAAGTAGTGATATTATCGACAAAGTTTATTACGTTTATAGAAAACTTTTTTATTAGTTTATAAAGCACACGAAAAAAGAACGCAAAATCGCTTTCGATAAGTTCAAGCGTCAAGCATATTATATGCTTGAATACGAGGCTATAAAAGAATCTTATTGCGTTTTTTTAGTTTATTAAAAAGGAGTAGAAAACTTCGAAAATGAGTCGAAGCAAAAGCCAGAGCATTTATTACTTAAGAATTAGCAACTAGCGCTCGAGATACTACTATTTCTCGAGCACTTTATTAATATTTTCTACACTTCAATTAAGAAGATCAATAGAAGCGAAGTAGCAGTTAAATTAATTAATTTGTTAACTTATTACGCTTTTATAAAATCGGACTTATACGCATCGATTCTTTACGTTCTATCTTCGAAGTGCTTGTTTAACGAACGCTACGATTCAAAGGTATTTCACGGAATTATCTTTAATACAAGCGCCGCTTTTGTTTCTTTAGCAAGCGAAAAGCAAGTGAAAGCCTTAAAGAAGTTACTCTTCGACTTTAAAATCAATACTTCGACTATTATTAAAAGCATTCGTTTCGGAAAAGAAGAATTAATAATGATTAAAGCTATAGTCGATGTTAATATACTCGTGGGCTTGATTACTTTTAGTATCGTTCTAGCTAATACACTTTTCTTGCTATGCTTGCAAGATATAGACCGCTTAAGTGTTATTTTTAATAACGTTTTAAATAAGTTGATCTAAAGCAATAAATCAATCTCCGTGATTAGGAAATTAAGCTACGCTTTTTTGCAAATCTAAGCTACGGAAACCGAGCTCTTTGAGTCTTATTTGTCAGAACAAGAGCTACGTTAAATTCACCGCCGCTTAAGTCATTTAGCTGCTCGCCGATTAATCGATATATTAAAGCTTTTAAGGAACGACGAAGAAGCTGATTCGGCAATTATTAAACGCTTTATTAAATATTGCTATTATTGCTAATTGTACGTAAAATCACTTGGTCTTTTTAAATTCATAGTTAAAGACGATCATAATTTTAATTACGCTATATACGTAGATGTGATCTATTTAAATAGCAAGCTAATGCTATATATAATCGATAGCGCTATAGCTTACAACGCTAGAGCGTTTTTAAAGGATATGTTAGCACGTACCGCGTAAGATACGTTGCGCGCTTATTAAATTGATATATACTTAAGGCCTTTCGACATCGTTATCTATGACTTAAGAACGAACTTCGCTGCTTTAGAATTCAAATTGCTAGCAAAATCAATAATAGTTAAAGTAAAAAAAGAATTAATAGAAGCTTATAATAGTGTCGGCAAAGTAGAACGGTATTATGCTATGTTGCGCCGAATCTACGACATCTTAGTTGAAGAACTAAGAAAGGAAAGTGTTACGAAAGAATAGCTGTTATAAATAGCTTTTAAAGCAATTAACGATACAGCTAGACTTAAAAGCTTCGTACTTACTCTTTTGGTATTTAAAGCTTACTTTCGTCTTATAAAGCTAGACTTACTTTCACTTTTTATTTAGAAGCGAAGAAAGGCTATTAATAAAGCTATGATTAAATTGAGAGCAATACAAGCAATTAAGAAAATCAAAGACGCTTTAGCAGCTAGGAATAGACTTGATACTACGTTAATTTTAGACCTTCTTATTCAGTTAAAAGTTCGTGTATAGCGGGAGCACCCTTTCGAAGGTGGCAAGCTACGCTAGATTAGCTTTTAAAAGCTTACTGTTATAGACCGTTATACTTGCACGGTACAACTGCTTAATAGACTTATAAATTTTCGATCTACGGTAATCAAACTTTATTATCGAGAGCAAGACTAAAAGCAAAAGGATTAAAATCTAATTTAAGCCGAGGTTCTTTCGGCTTATATTTTCGCACTTATTAAGA